GTCACTCACACCGCTGTGAAAGTCCAGGAGAGGCAGACCTGGGTCCACGCGTCACACTGCAAACAAGTCCCAGCTCTTCTTGCGGAGCGTACAACGGAAGCATAAGGAGGATCTTACCCCCTCCCAACGCGAAAGGAGGGCACACACACACACTGCCCCCTCCCAACGTAAAACATTGTTAGAAATACATTGTTAGCTGCATCAGGAGAAAAGTGCTGGTAACTACACTCCTAGGTCATAGATGAGCAGAAGATAGGTAACACAAGAAGATCAACAAGTGACAATCCAAGTCCATGATGCGCCACGGCCGGGAGCACGGTCCCTGGCATCCATTCAGGCAGCAGGGCCTTTGCGGGATGAGAAAGACTTTGTGTGTGCTCATGTTCATTTCCTTCCTCATTGTGTTTCCACTGTTATGGTTTGAAGGTCGGGAGAATAAAAAGAACAATCAAACACAGGTCGTTGTCAATTACACTTCTAACACCTCTTCATTTACATCAAAACGTGTGAAGAGGGAAGATGTGGCCGAAATGGATTTTGCGTGGTCACGTGTTTTGGCTCAGTCAATGAATCACACCAGCGTGTACACACTTAATTTGTGGTATCAATATGCAAAATTCTTAGCAGAGTCACAAAATCGCTCAAATTGTTACATTTGTACTCATATGCCTATTGCGTCATCAAACCCACACATCACACCTCTACCAATGGTCGATGCATTTACACATTTTCCAAAGATTCTGTATTCATCTGTCTCTGTTGATTATTTCAATGAGACCGTCACAAAGCGTACAGGTAAATGTCTCCCCCCACTCAAACCGGCTGTTAGTTCTGATTTCTTCAATTATTGGTTTAATGATGAATTAGATCCAATTTTTGGCCCGGTACATATCAGACCTGGTACTAAATTTGTATGTTACACTCTATCCATGACCATTACAGATTCTCCCTGTACAGATGGGACGGATCCCTATGTCATTTTGTTTAAATGTGTCTAACCCGTGTACTTCTTTTCATGGTAATTCAAGTTTAAACACTTCACAGGCCGCTCCGGGTAGTACATGTGCTCCATACTTCACGGTTCCTGACTCAACAGGGACTAATCCTCTGAAGGGTGTTTTGTGGCTGTGTGGCTTCAATGTCTATGTGAAGCTACCATTTAATTGGATAGGTCGTTGTGCTCTGATGATAGCTTCAGATCACTCTTACATCATCTCTACCATTCCTAGATCGCGAGGTAAGCGCGATTTTGCTGCTCATGATGCAGTTTGGGGGACGGACGTTCCAGATGATCACAAACTGTGGACCAAGCCAACAAAAGTACTTCTCTCCTTGTTCCCCCAGGTCGGTATAGGGAAGGTTATGCTTAGAATGGAAACCTTGAATTATCGGTTTTCAAGTTTTGTGAATTCAACTGTAACTATTCTAGAGGCCAACAGAGTAGAAGTAAATGCGTTGCGTGCCGTTGCTTTACAAAACAGGATTGTTTTGGATCATTTGGTTGCCTCAAGTGGAGGTGTTTGTGTTTTACTTAATCAGACCGCTTGTTGTACTTATATTCCTGATAACAGTGCCGATGATGGGATCATTGCACAGGGTATTCGAAATCTAACCACTTTGCGCGATGCGGTTAACCGTGATTTTGTTCTAGATGCTTCATGGTTTTCAGACTGGCGAGCGTGGTTGGTTCAAATAGGTACTGGACTTGGAGTAATATTAGTACTGCTAATAGTGCTGTCATGTTGTGTCATTTCTTTGATCCGTTCATTGATCCGACGTATGATCTCGTCGACACTCGTTCAACACACTTCTCTTAACCTGCATGTTGACTGTCTTGATGAGGACAGTGATCCATTTAGTGAGATGTTACTTGATGATTTTGAGTAAATTGGTTTGTATGTCTAACCCATTTTATGACGGATTTTCTTAAACCTACTAGGTGTGAAAATTTTGATGTTCCGGGGTTTCTTATATTTTACTTATATTTTACTTATATTTTACTTATATTTTACTTATATTTAACTTATATTTTACTTATATTTTACTTATATTTTACTTATATTTTTAGTACTTGATATATTTTTAGTACTTGATAGCATGTGTGTGATTGATTTAAGATAATCAAAGGGTAGATTGTTATGGTCAGTTCCTGGCACAAGATATTCTAATCATTTGGTCGATACATTTGCCTTCGTTCCCAGCGTCTGAAGCTCCGTTCTCGGCACTTTGGTACATCGCACAAAGGGCCTCTTGTTCAGCGATGGCCTTGGCCACCATCTGCAGGTGCGTTATCTCAAAAGTACTCACGGAGTGTGCTTTCTTATCATCTCGAAGGTCTTTTGGTGCGCTTAATGTATCTCTCCCAAACTTTCCCGTCTGCAGCCGCGTATGACTCATCTCTCTTGTGACGAATGCTCATTGTTCTGTCTGACACACCTCCAGTATAAGATCATCAACACGCTGGTTGAGGGAAACAGACAGACACGGCATCGCTCCAGATCCCGTTTCTGTTTGACTCCTTCTGCGCAGAAATGTCATTTTTGTACTCATCACTTCTGTAAATAAACTGCACAAAAGGAAAAGTTTGTTTCCTCTCGGTTTATTCATTTGAGGCATTAGAATTTCCATAGTGGTTTGCTGCATGAAATTCACTTTTACAACAGAATCAGTTAAAATGCATAGAATCACAGTTGTTGAGAGCTAGAATGTAATTCATGATGTTTCTGGTCCGTTTTAGGCGTTTCAAGTGGTTTGCTGCATGAAATTCACTTTTACAACAGAATCAGTTCAAATGCATAGAATCACAGTTGTTGAGAGCCAGAATGTAATTTATGATGTTTCTGGTCCGTTTTAGGCGTTTCAAGTGGTTTACTGCATGAAATTCACTTTTACAACAGAATCAGTTCAAATGCCTAGAATCACAGTTGTTGAGAGCTAGAATGTAATTCATGATGTTTCTGGTCCGTTTTAGGCGTTTCAAGTGGTTTGCTGCATGAAATTCACTTTTACAACAGAATAACTTCAAATGTATAGAATCACAGTTGTTGAGAGCCATAATGTAATTCATGATGTTTCTGGTCCGTTTTAGGGGTTTCAAGTGGTTTTCTGCATGAAATTCACTTTTACAACAGAATCAATTGAAATCCCTAGAATCACAGTTGTTGAGAGCCAGAATGTAATTCATGATGTGTCTGGCCTGTTTTGTGCGTTTCAAGTGGTTTGCTGCATGAAATTCACTTTTACAACAGAATCAGCTCAAATGCAAAGAATCACAGTTGTTGAGAGCTAGAATGTAATTCATGATGTTTCTGGTCCGTTTTAAGCGTTTCAAGTGGTTTGCTGCATGAAATTCACTTTTACAACAGAATCAGTTCAAATGCATAGAATCACAGTTGTTGAGAGCCAGAATGTAATTCATGATGTTTCTGGCCTGTTTGTGATGAAGAATGTGCTCATCACTTTTATCCTCAGCTGCTTTACAGACTACACCTGGAAATAACAATTTAAAGTGTGTTTTAAATAATTTCATCATAAGTCTATCTTTTACTTATGCTGATAAGTAACACCTGAAAAGAGAGGACTAAGTAAATAGATATACAATGCATATGCCTACTAATTAATATAATAATGCTAGCATGCAGTCATCACAGCAATGCAATATTAGTATAGATAATGAATCTATTTGCCTAAATAAACGACCTGCCATCAATGCAATGGTTCAATGGTCTAGATTCATTTTAGGCCAACTTGTATTGTGTATATACAGTTTATCCCTAACCCCAACCCAATATGTTAGTTGTAATTGCAATAGAGTAGCTTGTAGGTCTATAAATCTGACTTCGGTCTGCTGTTATTTATTTACTTGGCCTAGCCTACTGTAGTTGGGTTGTAGGTAGGCTCCTCTCAACCTTATAAATCACAAAAAAACACTAAACAAAATCCATCGAAACTTACTGCAATATATTTTGTAAACATTAACAAAATAAGTCTACCTGCACTTTTAGTTTCTGCCTGGATTAGTTTGTCTCTTACTCTGAGAAACGTCATGTATTGGTCCACCTTCTTGCAAAACTAAACGAAAGGGGGCAACACGTCCATGGATCCCTTTCTGTGCGAGGTCGCCATCATGAGAGGTTGTAGATCAAAGCCTTCTTGCCCTTTTCAGTGTCGTACTGACGTTTTCTTGAGAAGATGCTGGCCTCTTCATTGATCCTAGCTTTTCAGCACGCTTCAGAGAACTGAACTATCGTCTAAAGGTATCCCACCTCTCCTCCGTAATGTTTTCACAGGGTTTTTGTGATTCCATGAGCAAATTTTCCATTTCTGCCTCAAAGACGACCACCGCAAGCACAGCGCGCAGTGATTTGCCCTCACCTGCTTGATAATACTGCTCTTATTGGCTGAGCACTGAAAGATAACGTAATGTATCTCGTTACACTGATTAACATTGCCGCGGAAGATTTGAAACAGTAAAAAAATTGCAGGGTTTTGAATGGAGAACTTTTATATATGAAATCTATGTTAGACATGTTATGACATGATCCACTCAGTTTTTAGTGCTCGGATTGCTGGAATGAAACACAATAACTGGCTCAGCTGATGGCTGACAGGTGTAGAAAATAAAATACTGTTGGATTAGGTCTTGCAGTGTATGTAATACAACTGGCTGATATTAACCCAGAAAGTCAGAGTTTTAGCTTTTACTCTAAAGTTGTTTTGTAATTAATATCAATATAAAAATTAGCTGGGATTCATGTTTTGTTTTATTCAGGCTTCAAGACTAACAGACATAAAGCAGGATCGATGTATCCCTATTAACTTAACATTGTAAAGAAACAATCAATAATAATGAATTCATCCATTTATTTAGAAATGAGTTTTCAAATTACTTTTAGTGGTACACTAATCGAGATTTAGGACTTTCACAAAACAGGTGGGAAGATACATCTGAATGTTCTGTTGATTAAAGAAGCATTGCATCTCATTATCAGATTCAGTCATTACTCCTTGGACTTTTTTCTTTTTGGCGGCGGTGTGGCCTCTTGCACATCTTTAATCTCCTTTTCTGCCTTAACCCTGTTTTTCTTCTTTCTTTTGACCTCCGGCATTTCTTCTGCATTCAAACAGGTGGTGCTTTCAGTTACTTCACAGACCTGTCTCTCCTTGCTTTGCCTCGTTTTTTCATATTTGGCCATAAACTCTGCTTCTTGCTGTTCCAAACGGGCGAGCTTGGCGCTCATCTTCAGACCGTGCCTTGCTCCTTTGTGCGCAGTTCGACCACCGCACGCCTTCACCAGCGCAGCATCTGACAGGGCTTTGACAGAGGACAGATCCAGGTCTTCCTCATCTGAACTGCAGCTACTGTTGCTCTGAGTGTTTTCCACCGTTCCGGATAAGACTGTGGCCGATTTGACGAAGGCCCCGTACAGTTTATCCTTAGCCAGGCTTGCCTTTAAGGGTATCTTGCTGGATATACTGCCTTGGGTTTGGCCATTGCTCTTGAGTGTGGTGCCGCCCTGGCTGGACTCCACCTGCAAGCTGGCAGAGGTCTGGTTGAAAACATGGTCCCACCAGTGGAATGTGAACTGGTCGCCTTCCTTGTGCCCAAGGCCGCCTTTGTCACATTTGACTTTCACTTTTATCGCTTCTGAAATTCCCTTTTCATCTCGTCCTAGACCTTTACCTATAAAAACACAACAAACAATGGTGGTTTTAAAATGTAATACATGTTTATCTTACTTCTAAAATCAAATGACTGCAGCTCATTCAAAATTCTGTGTTTTGTGTTCCAACTCAAGACAAGAAAAAAATCTCAATGAGTCCTAATCCAGTCCCAGATTTATGGAGCTATTATTGTTTCAATAATATTTGTGTGTGCGTAAAAAGATTTGTGCGTGCGTAACCAGATTTGCGCGTGCGTAACCAGATTTGTGTGTGTGTAAAAGAAATATTTGTGCGTGTGTAAATAGATTTGTATGTACGTATCAAGATTTGTGTGTGCGTAGAAAGATTTGTGTGTGTGTAAAGAAAAAAAAAAGTACGTTTTACACACAAGTTTTTTTTTTACACACGAATCTTTTGACGCAGTCCTGCCTTCGCAGATTCGCAAGTGTAACTTGGACTGTGTGCGTGCGTAAACAGATTTGTGTGTGTGTAATTTGACATTTGTATCTGTAACAGAACAATCTGTGTGTAAATAACCGCGTTGTACAAAGAGAAGAACGGGAAAAAGCCTAAGTGCTACGCACAGGCTCTGTTTTACACACAAATCTCTTTTTGACACACCTCTGCCGCCAAGCGTGTGTCAAAAAGATTTGTAAGTGTAATGTGGTTGTTCTAGCAGTACACCAGCAGATGGTGCTGTTGTAGCTGGTTATTACCTACACGCAAGCAAACCAAAACCTACTGCCTTGACAAGACACACTACCGCAGATGTTTATATTTTTTTCCTATTTTCAAAATCATTCCTATCTCATTGAAAGCATATGATTGGTATAAGTGGCTTTTACATCTTTTCTATCTTAACATATATTACATGTAAAGTATGTTAGCCAAACCTGTAGCTGCACTCAGCAGAGAAGAACTACCAAAGAGGCTTTCTAGTGGAATTTGAAGTAAAAGGATAAGAAAGTGGATTTAACAAATTGGACGCACCCGAAAGTCGGGGCTGCAGCGTGGAGCTAGCAAAACAAGAGGGACACTTGTATTTGTTCTTTTTACTTTTTGAATCTTATTTCCAAATGGAGGATTACATAATCTACATTGTCAACAGAGAATTACATATCTATACTACACTTTTATCTGGACTTAAACATGAAACTGGTCTGAACTGAATGAAGTGGTGTGTGGAGTTCATATAAGGTAGGACCATAACACACTTTAAAATGTGCTTTTTACTTGGGTGTTTTGTTTGAGCATACAATGCGGACCATGTGTGAATAATCCTCTGTATGTCCTGTTGATATGTAGCGTTAAATCTGATTGTGATGAAGTCAGTGCCTCAGTCACCAACCGCATGTCACTGACAGGCTTTTTACTCCAACGCAATGTTTTTATAATTTTATGGTGACAATGTTTTTCATTGTCACAAATGCTAGCTTGCTAACCATTGCTGCAGTCGCTTTTTCGATAGTTTCTTTTCCTTGATGGCGAATTACGGCCGGTATTTAAAAAAATAGACATCTTTGTCTCGCTCTGAGCGTTTACCACAATTAAAGACGCAGCAAAAATTTCCTTTCAGCCTAAGTAAAGGTGCGCTCTCGGCCACTGTGTTGAATCTGACTGTATAAAGTTTCATACCTGCCATCTAACATGGCCGCCTAGTGACAGTTGCTATGTAGGTCCCATGGTGGTGCAAAACCTCTATAGAAAAAAGAAAAAAAACATTCTAAATGCAGTGGAAATTGTAGAGACATGTAGAAGTGAGCTTAAAAACTCAGTTGGACCCAAAAAATACCCTGTTAAAGATACACCAGTGAATGATATACGTTAAGGCCAAAACTGTATTCCATTGTATGGAAATTGAATAATAAGCATAATGATTACGGGCAGAGAGATCAGCAGGTACTAAAAGCACAAACATGTATTAATGCAAGAAAACTATGCTACAGATGTAGAATGTTTTTGACATTGTTGCGAGTGATGGAAATAATGAATGTGTCTTATATTTGATGACCCCTCGCCCCCTCCTCAACCCCTAAAGCAAGTCTACAATCACCCCTTACGCGAGGTAACAGTCGAAATAAACTTTACATACATATGCGCGGAGGGAAAAAAGACAGAGGACGTCTATAATATTTACAATCTACCACAGGTCCCAAGGTAAAAATATTATCGTGCAAACAGGGCTTAAGACGATAGTATAATAGATCCATGCTAGAGACCCACCATGCTCCCAGCCGTGCCGGAGCAACTGGCGCTCTGCAAACGCAAGTCTTTGGGTTTTCTCGGGTCCAGACTCCGCCATGATGAGCCGGGTTTTTCTCAGCGAGGCTCTCGCCTCGGCTTTACGTCTAGCGTAGAACGGAAGCGGGGAAATTAGAATAGTTTTATGGACATGTCACACATTTCAGGGTGAGGGAAACTGATTTGGCTCGAGGCAACTGTACGGTCCACTGGTGATTACGTACGTTATACTTCTTCTTTTCACATCCGGCAGGCTGGGCACCTCTTAGCGCATTGCTGCCTTTCGCGGTCGGAGGACACACTGCAGTTCACTTTCACAGGATAGGCTTCTTGCCAAATATGCAGCCCAGCTGCATACAAAAAGACCGAGACTACTTTCACCATCAAAGTAACGGAAAACAAAATCCAAAATCACCTCCAGTGTTTACACAGTCTGTTTTTTTTTTGAAGCTCAGATTGCACGTTTTATCCACACAAGTAGTTTCCTCATGTACTTATATTATTTTCTTCTCTCACTTGCTTCGTTTACAGTCCATAGATGCAATGTGCACACAACGGTCCCTTAGTCCTCTCATTAGTCATCTCACTTATTAGCCTGAAATTTCTCCACTGTGAGACGAATAAAGGAATGTCTTATCTTATCCATCAATCCTCATTCATACACATTTCACTCCCACATCCTCCTGTTGTCACAGATACCAAGAAAATCTTCAAAATCTTGATAGGGACTCCACTTAAAGGTAAAGGTAAAGGTGCACTTTATTGATCCCCTTAGGGCAAATCATCCTCTACATCTGACCCATACTGATGCCGCTAAGGCAGGGGTGTCTAAACCGGTCCAGAAAGGGCCGCAGGTTGTCTATCAGACCCAGCAGAGCAGAGTAAATTCAGTCTTAACCTGAAGATTTGAGGAAATGGGAGGAGTCTGCTCTGCTCCTGCTGGGTCTGATAGAATACCTGCAGCCACATCGGCCCTTTCTGACACCTCTGCGCCAGTGGCGTCTCTGGCATAAAAAGTTGAGTGGGGCACAAGAGTGGGCACTTTACATCCACAAACAGCAAAACACACACAATAAAATCAAATTCAAGACCACCGTCCATTTTTATGCACAGCCTAACATATTAACCCCATGAATAAAACCTTTGAATGGTTCAAAATAAATCAGAAATATTCAACTCAATAGAATCAGAATCAGAATCATTTTTATTGCCATGTAAGTAACAGGAAGTCAGACTATTAAATTGCTTTGACTCAGTGCAACAGCCAGAAAAGAGAGGTAAAGAGTAGAGAAGGCATAATAAAAATCAGCAACACTTCAAAGGAATTAAATTTATAATAGTGTAACACAAGTTGCATTGAGCAAGTATCACCCTGTGTTAGAAAGGTCGTGGGTGTATGAAGAATCACACAGAGAGGGACAGCTCCTCAGGAACGTAGCTTTATTCAGTCTACAGCTCCCCATCAAGCGAACTCCCCTCAAACCCGAGGTTACATTTTTCTAGCGCCCGTGACCTCATCACCGTCATATCTATGCGCACTCAAAATAGGTCCTAGCCAGGTAATAACACAACATAAAACAAAACAATAAAAATCCCCTTACATTCTTCCCCTTCTTCAAATAAAATGTCCTCATTTAAACATTAACCTGTTGGAGAAACAAAACATATAAATCCTGACAAACTTTCTCCACTTTTTTTTTTTTTTTTTTTTTTTTTAAACATAACTTTTTTATAAGAGAAGGCGAGTTGGTCTTTTCACAATGCGACCACATCTAGTAGCAACGTCACCACTAGAGGCACCCAATGTCCTGTTTTGTTGTTGCCGTGCAGGCCCATGAAAGACCCGACCAGTCAGTCTCCTAGAGGATGGCACAGACGGCCTAGTTCCTGCACCCTGGTTTTCAACGGGTTGTCCAAACGCAACAGGAAGTGACCCAGATAAAGCTGTGTACCCTGGGGTTGTGTGCATGCAAGGCACCGGTGGTGTCACACCCGGAAAAATGTCTTTAGAACGAAAAGGTTTTAAACGATCATAATGAATGACTTTTGGTACAGCTTGAGGATGTTTCATGTCCAACAGCTTATAGATTAGTCCATCATCATTCACAGCTTCAACCTTAAATGGTCCAGTCCAGTTTGGGCAAAGTTTTTGTCTTTGTGTAGTGGGATCATCCAACCAAACCAGATCACCACATACATATGGTTCAAACTTAACCTGTTTGTCATAATAGTGCTCACGTTTTAGTTGTTGTTCCTCACGGTGCATGCGAACTGCCTCAAAAGCATATTCCAAACGTGAGACCTGATCAGAAAACAATTCCTCAGGGACACCATGTTCAGGAATATACCTCTCACAAAATAATTGTGCTACTGTAGCTGCCTTTTGATCACACATAGCATAAGCATTCACATATTTGGTGAAATGATCTTGGACCACAAGGACATATCTATTTCCAGCAGAAGTTACAGGGAGCTCTGTAATGTCCGTGCAAACAAACTGAAAGGGTCTGTCAGCCTGAATAGATTGCAATGGTGCTCTGCGCTGTGGCACAGGCTTTCTGAAGGCCTCACATGACTTATACCGGTAACAAAAGTCCTCAATATCAGATCTCATACCTGGCCAATAACACATTGTCATCGCTTTCTTAAATGTGCGCTCGGCACTGTAATGACCAGAACATGGGTTACCATGTAGAAAATGCATTGTCTCAGAAATAATTAAAGATGGTATCACCACTTGATAAACCTCGGGTTTCCCTGGCACCATGTGACCTTTACGGCATAGTAAATTATCACACAAAACAAGCTTGGGAAACTGCCACCAAAGTTTCCTCTGAGTCTTATCTTTAACCTGCCTAAGAAAAGGACGTTTCCCAGACTGTACCCAGTTATACACATCTGAAATAATAGGGTCAGAAAGTTGTGCAGATACAATATCAGCATTATTCATACCAAAAGTAAGTGGTGACATGTTAATACCAGTAGAGACCTGTCCAGCAACACTGTCCACAAAACATACTTGCGATGTTTGATTAGTCTTGAGTGATTCTAGAGCTGAATTAAGCAACTCTCTCCTTGTTTTTTCTGTAGTAGGAGTGTGAATGTCAGCAGAGGGAGACACAATCACCTCCATTGTATCAGGAATCACCAATGGTATACGTGACATTGCATCTGCATTCGTGTGCTTCTTTCCATCCTTGTGAGTGATTGTCCAAAGGTAGGGATCCAACTCCAATGCCCACCGACCCCGGCGTCCAGTAGGGTCGTGCGTGATGTCCATCTTTCTTAAACTGAGCAGAGGGCGGTGGTCAGTAATAATGGTAAAAGGATTACAACTCAGGTAGTGTCTAAAGTGTCTGACCGACCAAACAATAGCATAGAGTTCTTTGTCGTATGTAGACCACTTTCTCTCAGTCTTTGAAAGCACGTGACTCGCATAAGCCACAACGCGTTCTTGTCCATTTTGTCTTTGTGAAAGCACCGAACCAACCGCAAAATTGGATGCATCTGTGCTTAAAATAAATGGCTGATCAAAGTTGGGAAAAGCCATTATTGGAGGAGACATAAGCGCCTCATTTAATGTCTGAAAAGCACCCGAGCAGTCCTCAGTCCACTTAAACACTACCTGTTTTTCTGTCAGTTTATGAAGTGGTTGTGCAATAAATGCGTACCTGTGTACAAAACGTCTGTAGTATGAACAGAGTCCCAAAAATGCACGGACCTCAGTAGGTGAGCATGGTGTCGGCCAGTTACTAATGCGTTCACTGTTAACAGGATCCAGAGTCAATCCCTCACGTCCCATGTACTTAACTGTCGTTTTGCAAAAGTCACATTTCTTAGGGTTTAACTTCAAACCTGCTTGTCTAAATTGAGTGAGAATGTCTGTGAGGTTGTGTAGGTGATCCTCAAAGGTTTTACCCATACATATGATGTCATCTAAATAAATGACACAGGTTGTCCAATGCAGTCCTCTCAAAACCAACTCCATTAGCCTCTGAAATGTTGGTGGTGCGTTTTTGAGGCCCATAGGCATGACCTTAAATTGATAAAGGCCATCTCCGGTTGTGAATGCTGTCTTACGTCGATCTGCGGGATGCATTTGCACTTGCCAGTACCCGCTGGACACATCCATTGTCGAAAAGAATTGAGAGCCTGACAGTGCATCGAGACTGTCATCTACCCTCAGTAACGGATGTGCGTCAGTTATGGTAACAGCGTTCAACTTTCTAAAGTCTACGCAAAACCTATATGAGCCATCCTTCTTTCTCACCATAACTACAGGACTGGCCCAGGGACTTGTACTGTCTTCAATCAAGTCCTGTGCTTTAAGAGCTTCAACTTGACGATGAATCTCCGATTTAATAGTAGGAGATGTACGATAGGCCCTTTGTGAGATTGGCATGTCACAGTTTGTGACTATTTTATGAGTGAGTAAATCAGTCCTGCCAAAATCATGTGAATGCTGACTAAAAACATCTGCAAATGACGTTAGTGTCTCATTGAGTTGATGGTTCTGGGTTACCGTTAGGTCTGAGTTTTTAATGACTGGCTTGGTGACATGCTTGGGAACGTTTGGTACCTGAACATTAATATTAGATACAGAACTGTCCATAATACTGAAGTCACTTTTTCTGCCCTCTGAAACTGCATGAAAAAGTCCAATCTGAGTGCCTCCGTACAACTTAATCTCACTATGTGCTAAATTAGCCACTTTAACACAAATGGAGCCAAGTTCTACTCTGGCTACAGTCCATGCAAACCCTGCAGTAGTCTCAACCGAATAATGAGGTTCAAACACACCTGTATAGCCATTAGGTCGAAGTCCTTTGAGGGGTGCATCCAAAGTAGCAGAGATGACCCTTTCTGACATTGCCGGGATAGTCACTGTGGAGGAAACTGACACACTAGTTAGAAAAGGAGCATATTGCTGTGGACTAACTAGTGGTACAGTTTTGTCTTCAACATCTAGTGTCATCTTTCGCTGGTTCTGCTTTGGACGTGATGGGGACTCGAAGCGTACTCTTCCTGGGCTAGGAGAGCGATATCGGCGACTCTCATAGCGATCCGGAGAGCGGCCGCGGTTGTTGTTGCCTCTCTCTGAAGAATGGCTCTGACGTGGAAGCCGGTCCGACGAACCAAGACGACGGTAGTTCTCCCCCTCACGACGAGATGAATGATGGCTGGCAAGGTCGTAGTCTTGACGTCGCGGCGAAGATCTGTAGGATCTGCTGGAGTAGTCACGGCGGTCCTCACGAGGTCCCTCAGGAGTGTAACTCCTATAACGATGTGTGTAGTTGTTTTTGTCTCTGTGTTGACGGTCCACTGCCAACTGTAGGTGCTCAACTTTCTCTGATAACGTTTCAATAGTTTTTAACATCTTCTTCATATCATCTGCATTGGCCGAGTTTATACCTAGTGCACCAGTTGCCGGAAAATGATTGGATGACACGGGTGAAATAGCAGGATAAACCATGTCAGTGGAAAATGATTGCATAGTACCAGGCGCTAACATTTTACTAGCTTGGTGTGCAGATTCAATCTGAGCGGCATATTTAAGGGCATCTTCAAGTGTATCAACCCCTTGTTCGTGACATCTGAGCTGTAGATACGGGTCAAGTCCAGCAATAAAGCGCCTTAGTTTCTCACCTTTCTTTGCATTGTCACCATATGTGGGAAAAGCTTCCTCCACCAGGCGACTGATTTCAGCAGCAAAAACAGGTAAAGCCTCACCCGGGTGACGAGCGCGTGCATTAATGTAGCTTTGAAATGTTGATAGATATGCAGCCTGTCCAAAAACGCTTTTCAGTTTCTCTTTTGTGGCATCAAAGTCTGACTTTACAGCATCAGGTAAACTGTCCCAATAGCTAAAAGCAGCACCCCCCAAGCATGTAGGAAGGAGTTTTTCGCCAAACTGTCTTCCTCAACATCAGGATTAGCATTTACTGTGACTTCAAAACGATGGCACCATCTTGAAAAATCTTCTTTTCCGTCCCCCATGAAAAATTGGCGGTACGGTGGAATGGCGCGGTTAGAGGCAGCAGAAAAAGGCAGATCGTTCCAGAAGTTATTTGCCATCGTTGCATCACAGCACACTCCTCTGCCTCAAATGTACAACAGGCAAAGTCTCTACTCATAAATAAAAAAAAATGTGTCCAAATATTTGTAAAAAAACATGTTTGCGTATTCCGTTTACACACCCATTGTTATCCGTGAATTACACACTGCCCCTAGCAGATAGCTGGTTAGCTTATGCACCGTGCCTTATCTACGACACAAAATGCAACACCAACAAAAATCCACAGGGCCTATGCAAACGTAATCCACCTCAGAATTATTGCATGGCGCCGTAAAGATGGCGCCGTGGCAAGAGCTCTGGTGTGTGTCATCTGGTGCACACCGGGGTAGTCTTGCACAGTTTTTCCAATGTTGTTTTACTGCAAATGGCAAATAAATGAATCTGAATCTGAATCTGAGAAATCTCGATCTCACTCGTAATAGTCAGTCCGTTATTCCTCGTAGCGTTGTGGGGGAAAGTCCAACGTTTCTGCCGTTAGCTTAGCCCGTGGTGCAACGTGTCCCAGAGCGACGATTCAACCTCTCCAGCGAAAAAAAAATTATGTCCACAACCCGCTGCCACCAGTGTAACACAAGTTGCATTGAGCGAGTATCACCCTGTGTTAGAAAGGTCGTGGGTGTATGAAGAATCACACAGAGAGGGACAGCTCCTCAGGAACGTAGCTTTATTCAGTCTACAGCTCCCCATCAAGCGAACTCCCCTCAAACCCGAGGTTACATTTTTCTAGCGCCCGTGACCTCATCACCGTCATATCTATGCGCACTCAAAATAGGTCCTAGCCAGGTAATAACACAACATAAAACAAAACAATAAAAATCCCCTTACATTAGAATTTATACGATTACAATTACTATATGAGTCAATGACGGATAAGGTTTTTTAAGAGGCAAATTTCAAAACAGACAGAATATGAATTTTTACAGCAGTTGGTCAAAGCTTTACAATGTCATGTGTAAAATACAAACAGGTTAATGTTCATGTTTCAGTCACAGAAAGAATGCATCACTTTTTAATTTTTCTACTAATATTATTTTTAATGGTTGCACCACATCTGAGGTCCTCTGACCAGCTTCTTCTGCACCGTCCCAGGTCTAGATTAAAAACCAGAGACCGACCCTTTGCTGTGGCAGGGCCTAAACTCTGGAACGCTCTCCCTTATTCCATCAGAGCTGCCTCCTCTGTAGAGAGTTTTAAATCGCAGCTAAAGACACATTTCTTTGCTTTGGCTTTTTAACACAAGCAATATTGAAACATTTATGATAGTGTCCTGCATTTTATTTTGATGCTGTATGTTATTTGTGTGTTGTATTTTTACAATGTCTGGTAAGCACTTTGTGACAGTCCTGTCTGTTTTTAAAATGTGCTATATAAATAAACTTGACCTTGACCTTGACATCTCAAGTCACTTTACCTGTTGATATTATTTCTGATGTTTATTCTGCTCATACTCCTATTCTCATATTCACCACGGCTAATGTATAATATAGACATCTGTAAATACTTCCGAACCAAGTGCAATTATAGCCCTCATTTTATTTTTATCTTAATTTTATTGTCTACTATCTTAAATAATACACTTATTTGATGTGTGCAATCTGAGTGCTCTTATTTCCTCTCTCTGCTGTAGTGTGCGCAACGATGACGCTGAAATGTCTCCACTGTGAGACTAATAAAAGGTTTATATTATCTTATCTTACATGACGGGCGGTCGCACCAAATGATAAATCCAGCTTAAATGTTTTTAAAAAAAAGATTAACTCCCGTCTTTTAAAACCACTGTGTTCAGGTGAACTTCACATTCATGTGAAGTACTTGGCCTTTGATTCAAACCATCCGCTACAACACAAACTCGGGGTCATTAGAACGCTTCAACACCGAGCCCACCAGGTCCCCACAAGCTCGGAAGGAAAGAACAGAGAAACCAAACATGTTCAGAGAGCACTTTCCAGATGTGGCTACCCCAAGTGGTCTTTTACTAAAGCCCAAAGGACGAGAAAGGCCAGAGACACAGTCCAACAGACAGAAGAAAGTAGGAGGAGAGGGGTGTCCTTACCGTATGTGGCGGGAGTTTCAGAGAAACTACAAAGAATCTTTAGGAAACACAAAATCCCTGTGTATTTCAAACCTTTCAACACGTTAAGACAGAAATTAGTGCATCCCAAAGACAAAACACCCAGACACAAACAGAGCAATGTGGTGTATTCAATTAAATGTAGTGAAGAGGAGTGCACTGACCACTATATTGGAGAAACCAAACAAACTCTACAGAAACGACTTTACCAACATCGTAGAGAAAACTCTAGTGGGCCACAGTCGGCTGTTCATCTCCACCTCAAGGCCTCCAACCACACGGTGGATGACACAGAGGTTAAAATTCTGGCTCGGGAGAAGAATTGGTTTGAGAGAGGGGTGAAAGAAGCCATTTTTGTGAGGAAACAAAAACCTTCTCTTAACAGAGGAGGAGGGTTAAGATTTGTTTTGCCTCGCATCTATGACGACATCCTAAAAACAACGCCCTAACTTGGGACAAGGTCAGTGACATGCTAATGAGTTAGGAGGGGTGAGACCTGCACTCCACTTGAGCATCCCAGCAGACAATAGGTCTGTGACATGCTAAGGAGTTAGGGTCGTTAGCCTCAGCAGGGTCGTTAGACCTGCTCCCTTCTACATCAAGCAGACCTTAGATTGTTTACGAGTTAGTATCAGGATTAGGGTGTGGCTTACCACACCCATAGGTTATAAATCTCCAACGCGCGGTCCGAGAATTCATTCCCTGAAGAAGTCCGCTAGGTTGAGGACGAAACGTCGGGAAAACTTGCTAAGAAGTACAGATGAGGGGTGAGAAACCTTCCTTTGCTTTGACTAATCCCTGTACGACTGAGGGCTTACACAAACTTCACATTCATGTATTTTGCTGGACATTTCACAAATCAGAAACAAGATGATTTCAAACACATCAAACTAGAAGATCTCCAACGGTTCATACTGTGGGGCCAACATAGTTTTTAGTCAGCACCAATTGTGCAATTCCTTATACTTAAAAGGGACCTAATCTTATTTTGTTCGTATATTGTGGTATTTTTTTGTGTTAAATAAAACTCATTTTGACAGATAGTTTCACCCTTAGCAGTTTCTATCAATAATAATCATGCAAAAAAACATTCGTGGAAAAATTGCCGAGACCGGAAGTGACGTACACATAGGTGTCATTAGGCTTTGTTGATATGCATTTGTAAGCCATAACGTTGTATACGGACGTTTTAAACAGATATTTGTCATTCAGTGATGGACAATACAAGTCAGGGGCTTTTATTTATGAGCCCTTGCGTACTTGTTATGACAGTAATTCTGATTTTGAGGACTCTGACTCGGTTCAGATGAGGAGCAATACAGTAGGTCCGATTTCGTTTTGTCGCCTTTCACGCGTGAATAGCACGAGACTCACGTGTGAAACACGCGTCTTTTTTTTTTTTTTTCCCAGTGATGCTGCAATAACCCAAAAAAACACCAGGTGGCACTTGTGAGCAGTGCCACCTTGAGCTTTATGACACCCAGTCATAAAGCTCAAGTCTTTGGCGCAGGAGGACCTGGGTTCGAGTACAAGTTAAAGACTTTTGATACAACTCCACAATCAGCACCAAGTTATGAAGATAAAATTATTCCACTTTTGTTCTGGCTTTTTATTTTTGCAGGGTTAGGAACATTGTCGGAAAATCTTCTGCTTTTAACCTCTTAACTTCCACCTGAAACCGAGCACGTTTTCTCCAGTGTTAAAAAAAAAAAAAAACTTAGTAATTAGGCCAACACATTTAAAATAGTTGCTAGACTGTAGTAAACTGTTGTAAACTTCACAATCTGCACCAACCAAACTGCAGGAAAAAAATTCTACTTTATTCAGTAACGGAGTAATCTGATTCATATACTCCCCCGCCAATAAAATTTGAGGATTGGCCGGGGCTCGAACCCCGATCATCCAAGCGAAAGTCTTGGACAATCCTGCTACGCCACCCAGGCGCTGGAGAAAACACTGGATCTAATAGCAAAGAGCGCCGAGTGAATGAGCCGTGCGTATGTGTGGGATGCTTAAAATGCCTTATATGCAAGTTAGTGCAAATGTTTGCCCTATGATCTGCTACTCCTGTGCATTTGCGTTTTAGAATTCCTAATTAATGGTAGATTGATTGAATGAATTAATTAATTCATATATATTATGCAGCGGTGGCTCTCATGAATGAAGCGTCTGCAGCGTCTTGGACGCAGCCTGGCTCGGGGTAGAAGTGCGCATTGAAGCGCTGTACACTTCAGAGAGC